CCTCTTGGAAACGGGGGCCCGCTGGACTAGTACCCTGACACAGCAATGCTGAAGCTGACATCCGTCACATGATATTCCAAGCACTTACATTCACGGTTTCTAACAGTGATCTTGCCGGTACCAGCATTAGGCCAAAGCATTTCCTCGACAGACTTTTCTCAGTTGCTAATACAACTGGCAATCTTTTAAATTTCGTATTCTCTTCAGTCAACTTGATTGAGATTAACACAGTTCGTCGACACGTCAATGAGCTTAACAAAGAATAGCTGATGCGATTGCTCGGGTGACATTGAAGGACCCTATGGCTCTTCAGACTCACTTGGCTTTCTTATTGGGCAGTGCTATCCCATTAAGTGTCAATCCAAATGCTAGAGAGCTAGCTTTCATCATTAACTTACTTATTGTATCTCCAGATGACATCTACAGATTAAGGGATGTGGAAAATGTAGGTAATTGGGTTGACAACACTCATGTCAGGTTACATACGCCTCCGGTCGTCGCGTACAATGAGGACACGCCGCACGTCCGGTTAGTCCCGGACCTGCATGTGTGTTCTCTCACACGTAGCCTACACTTCTTGTGTCCAGGTACACCTTTTCTGCATGGCGGTGCCACTGGTGTGTGTGACATTGACAAGTTGTCGGGTGATTCCATACGACTGCGACTCCACGTTCACATGTGGTTCAAACTACTGCTGTTGTTGTTGGTGACCGTTGATTGGTTAATACCCCTGCTCGTGAAGCTGATGTTTTCTATGAGCGTCACGGTGTGTCCACATGCCTTGTGCTTCTGTCCCAGACCCTATGGGTAACAGTTCCACGTAGTGCTACGGTCCATGTAGGTGAGGTCTCTCTATATTACCGGTACTTGGATCCTGGTGAGCATAAATCTGTTGTGGAGTTTTCTCCTTTCTATGATAACATCTCCTTTGCTCTTTCTCCAGCTACGGTGGATTGTGTTACATTCAGTGGTCCAGCCATGGTTCGGGTTAGTGCCGTGAACAAGGTGCTGTGTGAGTTGTCGGCAGATCCCGGTCTCTGGTTTCAACCAGCGTCTTACTCCTGGTAATCCACTGATTCTGTCGTGTTATTCACCGCATGCTTAAACCTTTATCTGTCATTGGGGTTGTCATTTTTCCTTTTCCGTCACTTCTCAACACGGATGACCTCTCTAAGGGACTCGGTCCGCAACATCGGTGGCCGTCTATCTCGTGCCCATGTGCCAGTTGTCCGCAAAGTGCCAGTTGTCTGTGAAGCCCCGGCTGTCCAGATACCGCAATCTGCGCCGGTCGTTCCTCCGCCAGTCGCTCCTCCACCTGTACCTCCTCCGGCACCTCCCGTGCCTTCAATTAGGCCTTCCACCTCACAAGTGGGGTGATTCCTGTTTTCCGTCGTCAGTCCCATGGTCCCCTGTTTCAGGTTACACAAGTTTGTTTGTGTGTGTGCATGGTTGTCTTTCCTGTTTATACGCGACGTGCAGACTTGAGTGATTTGAGATGAACATGCTATGGGTTCCTGAAGTCAGGTAATCAGTTTGTTATTAGTAAAAGGGTTATTAGTAAAAGGGTTTATTCCACATATTGCTGTTATCCAAATTTGTTTTTATTTTCACTAATGGTAATTCCTTATGGGTACATTCACTTGTAGGTTGATTACTAACTTCACTGATTTACATTTTTAGTGCTCTTTGACACTCATATCTACTTTTCTATTGTTATTTACAGTTAAAGGGACTATAAGGAAGTTTGACAGTCAAAACATGTATAGAAATAATAAATTTCTTCTTCATACATTCTCCTGCAATGCCCTGGTCCTGTAGAATGAGCCCTGGAATTTTTACTGTTATTGCCTGTTTTCCTGTAAAATCACAGAAAAAGAGAGCTACTTGGGTCGAGCAGGCTGCTTCATGCGCGTTCACAACCAGGCATGCCGTAGCATTTGCTATCAGTAGCTTTAGCAGCAGAGAGAGAGGCAGTGCCAACTCAGCGACTTTGTCGCTGTTCCTAACGCCTAGTGACAAACCTAGCTACATTTCTGAGGACCCTTAGCTACTTTCTGTAGAACTTTCTTCTAGATATTTCCTGCAAATTAGCAACAAAATTGCCATTTTCGCTCCAAACCGTTCTTTGGATTGACGTTGTTTCAGCTATCATCGAGGATATAAAAGTTACAGATACGATGAACGTAACCAGTGCTTTAGCTCACATAGAAATAAGTCTGACTCACTGGTGCTTTAGATCACCTAGTAATAAGTCTGACTCTCATGCTGAAGACCTAGGTACGATTCTGGATGTGAATGTAGTTTGTTATTTGGAGTTGCTTTTTTACATAATGATAATTTTTTTACAGTAATAAGACGCCCAAATTTTTATTTGAGACTCGCCGAAATGCATTGAATTCACGGATAAAAATGATGTGGGTTCAACTTTCATTTTGGAACAACTTTTCAAGCAAGGGAAGGGAAGGATCTGAGCATGCAGGGAGACTGATCCATCATAAACCTTTGTCGGCTGTGCTGAAGAGAAAGGTACAGAACCAAATTAATTAATTAGCTGCGTGTTCTCCTGTCCTCTGTCCTCCGACACACACACACACACACACACACACACACACACACACAAACACACACTGCATGTTCGGCCGGCCGACGAGAAAGTGCAGCTGCAGAGACAGAGGGACATTATTTTTATTAATTTGCTGTGTTCTTCTGTCCTCCGGGCCACACACACACGGGGCTGACTGTCTCAGTTTTTATTTTCCATAAGGAGTGTGCACGTACAGCATGCGCTCCTCATGCACGAGCCTACTATTGAAGCTGCCGTTACGCTTTTGGCCTGAGGGGGCAATCGCGAGCATAAAAATTCAAAAGTCCCTTTAATTAAGTGATAACTTTATGATTAACTTTGTTAATTTACCATTATGGGCTACAACCATTTTTGCCCTTCATTTTGATCAAATGTTTGCTTAGTAAAGTGATTCTATTTATTCCCTTACACGCAGTATAGGGTTTTATTACTTTATTCTTTTTACACCGCTTTTTCCAGTACACATAGTGTATTGCATCCTTGGGCTCTATTCACATAATTGCTACACATAGTACATGCAGGTACACATACTGACAGGTTTCTTTTACTTTGATTTACATTAGACGCCATTTGTTGTGTCTACATTGAAGTGCCCTGTGTTGTGCTCGCTCTCCTCTGCTGAGTTTCGCTGATGATCCTTGATTCCTGGGGGTGGACCTATGATTCGTCATCGGATTCGACTCCTCCTGACCGGTGTTCCAGCTCGTAGGACCTGGACGTCCGTGATTTCGGCTATTGCTGCTGGGATACTTCGCTCGCTGGGACCTGACCTGTTTGCTGCTCGTCTTCCTCCTACTTGGGATTACGTTAAGTGCAATTACAAAGATCATAACACTATTTTGAAATTATTCCCTACCCATGGATGTACAAAGTTTGCTCCCACTTCAGATTGTTCCCTCCACGAGGATATATTAATGATTTGCTGACTTTTGATTAAACACCTTCGAAGGATTTGCCCCTCCAAAGGAAATTAGCCCCTTTTGGCCTCTGCCGGGGAAATTACATCTAGCATACTCGACGGAGACCTTCCATGCCTCTGTGTTCAACGCCAGGTGGTCTCTGACGGACCACCGTGCTCTTGAAAAGGGGGCATATGTAGCGTGATGAATTGTCCATTTCTGACCTAAAAGGCCCTGCTCTGTTTTGCTCTGCTCAAGCAAAACCAGAATTTCTGACACAAACCTAATCTGCATGAGATAGTGCTCAAGGTTTCATGCTCTGCTTCTAAACTGTTCTTATTTTACAGCTCAAGAGAAGAAGACGAACACTTTCTTTTTAATAAATCAGAACTCTTTCTCTATTTTTAATGAGCTAATCAAACATAGTGTTAGTCCACTAATAAAATGTGAACCAACCGATGAAATGTCAATGTTTATGATCAGTAGTACTTTAATAAGTAATATAACTTAAAATATTTCCACTAAACATTCTCATCCACGTAATGTTAAGAATCACGTGACACATTTCCTTTTTCTGATCCAATCAGAACCCTCCAGATCTGACGTGAGGCGTGGTTTTGTTGGTGCTTGGTAAATCCCCTCTGGTTGTCCTTTTTTGATTCGACCGTAAATCAAAACATCCAAATTATAAAACTATGCCCACGTCATCTTAACTTCAGTTCAAGCTTTCTAGAGAAGTTGTCGGAGAGGCCAATCCGTAACATTCCTCTTCAGACGAAAGAACCCAACGACAAGCTGGATTAAATCTGTTGCATGTTCCACCTGCTGCAACGGTTCCTTTCAGAATAAAAGCTGAACCATCACGACCCCTTTTTGGGTCTCGCTAGATGACAATAAAACTGTCGTGACCCGGAAGTATGTCAAGACTGGTCTGGTCGGCAGCCGCTGCTTTTCCTACCGGCTTCGGTTCCAGAGAAGGTCAAGCTGGACCTCGACATTCCTGATCTAACGGGGACTTCCGCAAAGGGTACGTAGGCCGGCAGGATGGCATCTCAATGTGTGTTATAAATCTCCAAACCAAAGCTTAGCGCGAAACATCACCTTCACTCCCATCAGAACTAATCGTTTCTCTGGATTTGCTGGTTCTGAACAACATTCCACACTACACCATTCTCAGTCTTACTTCACCTTAATTACACCATACACCTAGTGTTTAAAGCTAGTCTTGTTTAATTTAATTTAAACTTTTAAACCTGACTCACTCTCTTTTCTTGAAGTTGACACGAAGTGTTGCTCAATCCCTGCAAGAAAAATATCCAAACTTCTGGTTAAATTTACTCAAAGAACTAAGAGGGTGATATTTCATCTTTCGTGATATTTCACATTTTATGGTATCTAATTAAACGTAGGAACATCTTCTCTACACATCTAAGCTGTTTTCATCCCATCAGACTCCACTCTAGTCCCAGACTTAGTTCCATCCTATTATTACAAACAGACGCCTGACAGCCAAGAGCTTCAAGCCAAATGTAATCTTTATTAGAATGTTTCTGTACAAAAAGCACTGGATCACATTAAAACCAACTGAAACAAAACACATGCATCTATTTACAGCATGGCCAGAGACAGAAACCAAAGAGCGGTGGGGGGACAGCCCCCCATCTGAATCTGAAACACATGAGTTAATTAAACATTGTGCTTTAATATACTTTGATGATATATTTCATATTTCACAAAGTTGTGGTGCTTCTGCCCTCTTTCACACCCAAGTAAAACATGTTGACCTTAAAGTTGAACGTAAAGAGGAAGGTGAGAAGGTTTTTATGACGGTGACGGTGAAAACAAACTAAAGCAGGTTGGAGGAAGCGAGTGGGAGTGTCCAGGTCCAGCTAAAGAGCTGAAACATGAAGGTCTTTGCTGGATTCACACTGATTCACAACCAGTTTCTGAAACCAGTTTTCATGTCAGATCTGCTCCAGACACATCGGTTTTATTGGAAAAACATTTTTTTAGGAATTTGTACGATAGATTTCCTGATATTGAGAACAGTCCAACTCCTGCAACAGCTTCGTTGATTTTATTCCTCTGATGGGAAAAAAAACTATCTTTTTTATTTTCACTCCTGTTCATTTCAAATAATTTCTTCCACAAATAAAATATTATAAGACATAAATTCACACTCTAGTTTTTATTTTTCTCTGCTATTAAATTAAGATTTTTCAATTAAAATATCTTAAACCTTTTTTCTCTCTTTCACAGGAAACCTGAACAGATGAAACTAGAAAACAGAAACCAAACTAGCTTTGCTCCACAGTGGAACAGAACCAGAACACAGCTGCATCCCGACCTGATCGGTAACAAGGATACAAACACCACCATCATCATCAACATCATCATCAGTGGAAGTTTCTTTCACATCAGCGGTTTTAGAAATCAGCTGACTTTAAAATCACGTGGGTTTCACATCGGGTCAGAACTTAGGATGGGTCATATAGAATCCAAAAGGTTCTGATGGAGGGTTTTTGTAACGTCGATATAAAATATATCATGATGGAGATCATGAACATCTGTGCATTTTGCTGTTTTTACTGATTCCTCACTTTAGTGCTCGAACAGAAATAGTGCATCAAGTAATAAGTGTGATTATACGTTTCACAATAATACACAAAGGACAAGAAGAACCAGAACACAAACGATGCTGCTTACAAAAAGTTAAATATCGGAAAAACATTTTATACAAAAGTGATGAAAGCTTCGTTTTACGTCTCGCTTTCAAAACGCTCATCATGACGGCTTTTTCTGTTTTTACAAAAGAGATTATTTCTTCTGACTTTTTTAGTCTTTTTACAATATCTAAAAGGTATTAAGACATCAAATGTGTTTACATATAGATCTGAGACTATCACCCAGAAGGAACGGACTTCATAAATACAAAAAACCACAATCAGAACAAAAAAACGGAAGAATCTGGTACCGGAATGTAGGAAAAACTAAAAGCTACCACTCAACACACCGGCAGAACAGAACCAAACAGAACTCAACAGGATGCACTGGCAGAACAGAACAGAACCGCTGCTTGGGTTCAGAATGAGCGAAAGAAAAGGAAACCAAGGAACCGGGTCATCTCCACTTTTTACAGAAACGTTCGTTTGCTCGTCTCTTCTTTCATCTCAGAACACGACACAAATATCGTTTGAAGTTATGATACAGAAAATAATGCTCAAAGGTTTCAAAACTGCTGTTCACAGTTTAAAAGGAAGTTCGGATCCAAATCTTTACAAACTAGAAGCCGTCTGACGGTTTCTTTTCTTTTTTTTCCAGATTTGATGAAAATAATTTCTCCTGGTGCTTGGATTAGGTCCGATTTGGTCCACGGAGAGCTTTGGCTCCTGCAGGAACAGATCCAGTCCATCAGCTAGTTGATGAGTCCTGCTTGTTAGAGGAGGAGGGGAACCATCAGCCCAAACAAAACCTCAGCTGCTGCTTCTAAAGTTAAACGTTTTCATAAAACAGTTTTAAAAAATGAAATCAGCCTGGAAGATGGAACATTTAGAACCAGAACAGGAAAACACAAAAAAGAGACAAGTTTCATTAAAAATGACTTCTGTTTTAAAAGTGAACCTCCAGTTCAGCCAGCTGGAAGACTACTAGTCCCATTGTCCCAGCTGTAAACAAACTGAAATTGTTTACTTTTCATTGTAACCCTTATTGCTCCAAATAAATAACAGATATATAAATAGAATAAACTTGGACATTAGATTAGTGATTAGTGTTTGTTGTTAGCCTCAAAGGCAACCTTCTGGCTTCATTATCTCGTGCAAGTCACTTTGGACAAAAGCGTCTGCTAAATACATAAACATAAACATTGAGGGTTAAAGTGGCAGATTTTCCACTTGTGCTGCATTTCTCCTAAACTGTAAAATTTAATTGAGTGAATTTCTGCAAATTTTGGATCAAGACATTAAAAAATAAATTATAAAAACGTATCTCTAATATTTATATATTTGCATGTTTGTATGTTTTCTAATCTTCTGAACCTCCTGAGACCAGAGCTCTGTTGGCGTACTTTGACAACTCCCTCTATTTCAGATGAATAAGACTCGCAGTCATAAAGATAATCTGAAATCTTTAAAATGTAATAACTGAAAAAATGTGTGAAATTAAAGGTTGAACCTTTTCTGAACAGAAAGCAAAAAGTAAAGTCAATCCAAGCCCAATAAAATGAACAAGAGAGTTAAGTTGAACTGAATGAGCTATTATGGCTCTGAAAGCCATCACGCTCCGGGCCTCAGGAGGTTTCTTATTCTTGATCACTTTATAAAGACACAGCAGCTTCCAAATCTAATTCCTCATTAGGCATTTCATTTTTTTCTTCACTGACTTCAACGTGTTTCTGAAACCTAAACAGCAAATGTTTCTGTTCAAGTAGAAAAAGTTTCATTTTCCCCATTTTCATTTCATAGCAGAAGCAAATAAAATCTGGTGCTGAAAAACCTGCAGCTGATTCTTCTGAGAGGGTTGTGTTATTTCATTTTGGGATGTCTTCTCTCATCTTCAAGGGAAACCAAAGCTCCCGGTGGACCCGGACCCGCCTGCTGGTTCTAACTGATCTGAGACAATTCTGTTCTCATCCAAGCCTTCTGATGTCTCAGATGAACAGAACCGCTGGAAACGCAGACGTCCTGAGAGGCGGTGCTGCTGAGACCTGCAGTGTCCAGCAGGGGGCGCATGACTCTGAGGGCTGGTGGGAGATCTCTGATGGGTGGTGGTTCTGATCTAGATGGGCAGGTCCGTGTGAGGGATGCTGGGACAGATCGCTCTGTGGTCGGTGGAGGTTCAGGAGTAGTCGGGTCTTTCCTCACATGGGGGGCACGATGAGTCCAGCCATGGCTGAAAACCAACAAACAAACAAGGATCAGAACCCTCTGACTCGGTTCTGTTCATGTCTAAGTGTCAAACTCAACAGAAATCATTTCACTTTGTCAAGTTTTACTAAAAACAAGTTAAAAAAACATCTGAAAGGCCGCATAAATGAAACGTTCTTTGTTGTTTCATGACAACACGATTTAAATAAATAAAGAGTATTATTAGTACTGATTATTAGTACTGGTCTAGTAGTACTAGTATTAGCACTGCTCAAAGGAAATATAATCTCCACTTGGTGGTTTGTCTGACAATTAGTTGAAGTTTGGTTTTGAAACGTTTCACAGAACTTTTATCTAACTGGAACCGTGTTCCAGTAAACCCCGTTGATCCCATCCCAGGTACCCCAGCTAACGCCGTACACCCAGTAAACACACTCAACCCAATTAGCCTTGACAACGCTAACCCAATATACTCCAGCAAAATAACCCAATTAACCCCTTAATCCCAGTTAACTCAGTTACCCCGACCCAGTAAACCCAGATAATCCTTGGCAGAATCAACCCAGTTAACCTAGAACCCTAACCCAGTACATCCAGTTAAAGCTCTTTAGTGCCAGAAGTTATGGATCAACTTTGACCTCTGACTGATCAAGACTCTCAAGAGACGTTGGGCGTCCGCCTGTGGACGGAGACAGGAGGACCGCAGGGGGGCGGGGGTGCTGACAGGTGGGAGGAGCAGGAAAGGGGTGGGGGTGGGGGATGCTCACCCTGGAGGTTGCTGCCATTGGCGGTGGTGCAGGTGGGGGGCGGGGAGGTCTGCGGCCTGACGACGGGGGCGAAGGCGCTCTTCTGTTTGACTGCAGAAACCATATGAACAGGAGAGAATGAATCAGGGCCTCTGGAGCAGAGGAAGAAGAGGAGGTGATGAAGAGTGACCAGCATGGGCGGAGATGAGGTGAGTCATGCGAGGGAGGGGTAAGGGTGAGGATGGAGAGGAGGGTGAGGAGGAGGAGGGCCGGGGCGAGTTCTGGAGGAACAAACATGCTTCGAAACCCAACAGGTCCGGCAAAGTTGATCCATAACTTAAAGGACTGAAAACGAGAAATCTGATGTGTCTGTGAGCAGAGGCTCCGCCCACTCACTGTCCAGCGAATGTGTGTGTGTGTGTGTGTGTGTGTGTGTGTGTGTGTGTGTGTGTGTGTGTGTGTGTGTGTGTGTGTACAGGCAGACAGCCAAACAGATTATCATCTGATTCTGTGGTAAACCATCACCTGGAGTTACCTGTAACATATTCTGCAGTTTAAGGAACAGGTCAACATTTTCAGGGAGTTGATCAGCTCAGAAACTCAGTTCCATTCAGTCTGAACATAAACAGAGAAGAAACACGTCGGCCTGCTGGTTTCGTGGAAGTCGGGATTCAAACACGTTTTGTTTTCCACGTATTTAATCATAACGCAAAAAGCATGAGTATTAAAAAGGGTTTCTGAGCTTTAAATGGACATTTAATCCATTCTGAACAGCCTCTGTTCAGTGTAACAGAGTTTACAGAACTGATAAGCTAACGGCTAGTCTGAGTAGTTGCTGTTATCCTTAACTGCTCCAAATCCCCAAATTTCCCAGTGGTAAATGGAAGGCTATTTCGTAAACCTTTACACTGCCATCAGTTTATTATTACATGTTTTTTTTCAGGGAATTTTACTTTTTTCTTTATTGTTTCCATGGAATTCTGTCATTATTTATATGGGTTTCTGTTGAAATTCTTGTGTTTGTTTTTTACATGTAAAAAGACTATTTCCATGCAGTCTGTAGTTGTTTACAGGTACATATTTTTGTGTAGACTTTATTGACAAGGCCTGGCCACAGAAATAACAAAGCTACCATTGTATGATAGAGGTCCACCAAAATATTAGAGTAACTAAAGGGAAAAAGCTGAAATAACCATGTAGCCATTAGCACATTTCTCTGAACAGAGGCACCTCATAAAGCTAACAGGAAGGATAGGAATTACTAATATTTTAGCACTGGAACACATTTTAGAATGGTGGAAACGTCCCTTTAAATTCTATTTTGCATCTATATTTTATATTATGAGGCTGAGCGTCAATAGAAGTTGAGGATCGTTCTGCTGTTCATAAAGCTCCTGATCTGTTAGTGACCAGATTTAAAGCAACAGGAAGTGATAATCTAACAGAGACAACAGGATGTGACGATAAACCACGTTCTGAACTAAATCCCTTCAGCTGAATGGGTCTCCTGAAATGTTGGTCTAGTGCTTTATAAAGTTCCACGGAGGTTCTGGAGAACCCTGAAATGGTTCAAGAACTGCATCAGAAAATGGAAGTGTGTAAAATGAAACTGAGGAATGTAAATGTGATTTATTGCTTCATGCCAGAACTATCAGCCTGTCCTGGATGGCTGCGTTCTCCTCCTGCTTTCTCCTCCCTCTGGCTCCTGCTTCTTGTTGTTCTGATAATAATGGGTTTGGCCCAAAGCATGAATGTGGTGAGGATGTTAGTGGGGTTAGTGGAGGAGGACGAGGAAGAGGAGCAGCAGCATGGACAGGAGGATGGTTACGGGGAGGAGGAGGAAGGGTGGGGGTGAACAATGTATGGTGTTTGGTTTACAGACACACACACCATCACACACAAACACATGGACTGGCTGCAGGAAGCTGTAGCTCAGTCAGACTGATCACCAGGGACGATTGGGAGACACTGTTAGAACCTGGTACCTCCTAAACGGGTCTCACTGAGACAACAGAGAGCTCCAGGTCCAGGTGGTACTACTGCTAGGCTGCATCAAGCTGCAGAGCTCCTATTAGAAACAACTAGACTGGACTGACAAGCAGATCAAAAACATCCCAAACCCAAGTCAGAGCCGTAGGACCAGCTGCTTACTGGTCTGCCGCTGCAGGAACCCACCATCCCAAGTCTTCTTCAGCTCTGCTCATGGGTCTGAGGTTCCAGACTTATAGGTCATTATGGATCAATAATGTAGAGTCCAGATGTTGATTTTACTGTTAGGATCTCCATGTCCAGGAGGGGCAAACCGTCTCCCTTCTGAATGTTCATGTTCAACCTTTGACCATCTAGATTATTTAATCTTTAATTCAGTCTCACCATCACAAATACACACGTTTCAGAACCAGCTTAGTACCAAAACCCACTCTTGGTTCTGTGCAGAAACCAGAGAACCTGCTGCACCTCAGAGTTCCAGAGGAACAAACTTCAAACTAGTGAAAGACTAACTGAAACGTCTAAAATCATCCTAGTAGAACCCGCTGTGGTGAACGTCTCTTTCTAGAAACTAAAAATCCTTCTGAAATACTGTGAAAATAACCAACTAATCTAAATAGACCATCTGTTGCTTTCAGAACCCAGTCTGTTTATGATACACCCGTTTGGTTCTGATTCAATCTCACAGCTGATGTAACAGAACCAGACCTGTGTGTGCGCGTACGGCTCTTCCTAGACTCACTTGCGTAGGCGGAGTTGGCAGTGGATCCGTTGAGGAATCCGGGGGACCCGGGTACTCCCAGGTTGGTCATGCCGGCGCCGTACCCATTCATGGTGGACGTGATGGTGTTGTAGTTGGACTGCTGAGGCGTAGAGCTCGGGACGTATCCACGGGGAGACACGCTGTTTGAGTTACGGGAATAACCTGAGAACAGAAGGGAAGACGGCTGTAATCTCAGATTCCTCTTTTGATCCTAAAAATCTGATTGTTATAATCTGTGAAACTAATAAAGTAAATGTAAGACAACAAAATCCATTAAAATCTGTTTTTAAAAACCCTTTAACCCTTCCACTGTCCTCATGGGTGACCCCGCCAGGAAAGTTGACCATTGAGCAGGCTTGATGGTTAATCCTTTGAAGTCCACATGGCAGGGGTGAGGTGGTGCTCACTCCTCACCCCTGTCATGTGGGTGCAAGGGTGCAAGTGCAAGTATTGGGACTGGGCAAGCTAACCCAACTTTTTTAACGCTGACCTCATGGCTGTTGTCAGTGCGCTTGTTGAGTGAGCTTTCAAACTCAGTTTGACCTCTGACTGTTCATGTCTTCCTGAGGTTGACCATGCCAGGCCCATCCAAAGCTCCTATTCTTTTCCTGGTCTGTTTCATTCCCAGTAGAAGCAGCTGATGGAGTGTCGTTGATGAGAAACACCTGCAGCTCTTTAACTCCTAAGTGTTTGCTCGCGAGCTGGCCCCTGGGCCCAGGCGGTGCAGTGGGAACCAGAACGTTTCCTCTCAGCAACGCTGACGTCTGGATGAAAACCATGTGTTTCCTCCCAGAGCTGCAGATCAGCTGATCAAGTGGCTGACGGACAGTCTACTACTGATCTGGGACAAGCTGGGTCTGAATCAGCTGATGGCACCAACCAGACCACTCACACTCAGCTCTGTTCCACTGCGACATGTAAAGATGTTTATATCTTTCAGTCAGCTTTTAATCCGAAACTCCAGCAGCTCATAAAGTCCAAACAGACTTTAGGTTTCAGGTCCAGTTAGGTTCTGTAGGTTCTGTCTCAGAACCAGGTTTTATATTTTATTGCAGATGATGATTATTTATTCTCCTAATTTCACTGTGTATCTGGTTTTGGATGGACCTCATTTCCAATGGCTCTAGTGTCAAACCGACCTGGTTCCAGATGGATTGGGTTTCTGATGGATCTGTGTAGGGCCGGGCGAGATGGCAAAAATAGAATATTACGATTTTTCTAATATTTTATCACGATAGCGATTTTATCACGATTTGTTTATCCATGAATAGCATAACTTAAATTGCTTATTAAATAAGAGAAACACTGAATAAATAAACATTTATTCAATTTAGGGATAATCAACACAGTGCTAACACACTTATATTGTAAACTCACATCAGTGATGATAAAAGTCCTGAGAGAAACAATTACAAAAATCACAGTTATTCTCATTTTTCTAATAACTTAAAAATAAATTAGGTTGTTTGCAGTGTTGCACTATGTAGCTCCCAGTTGTTCATGTAGTGGATAGTTAAGCTCAAATATGGCCCTGATGTGCGGCTGGACCAGAGATCGCTTGAGGTAGCAAAAAACTGCACATTCTCAATATTTTCTGCAACTCTCTCTTTGCATTCAGCGTACTTGCATGGAATGGTGGCATTCGAAAAATACTTGCGGCTGGGCAACTTGTAGTGTGGATCCAGTATTTTTATCATTTTCTTAAATGACTAATCTCACTCTTCTTCCGGCTCTTGGAGAGTACAGACGCTTTTTCTCCTCTCCCTCCCTCCTTATCCCAAGGCTCTTTGTCCTGTCTGTGCACGGCACTTTCTGCATTTCTTCTGGAAACTGGAAATTATTAAAAATGGATCTGGTCAGTTGGTCTCTCAACGCGATTGATAAAATTTTTTCAACGATGAGAACGGGAGAAGGGGCTCCCGGATGCCACTCTGGGACAGAGCCAGCTGGGTATATCATGGACTCCTGGAAACAGTGGAACCTGATATGCCTCTCTCAGCTGTCTGTAGAGGATTCAGAAGATGTTTGGATATTCGTCATTTTGGTGTCGGGATTCCTGCTGTTTGGCTTGAGCGGTTACCTGTCTTACGGGAAAATTAACGAGCTTTCGAGGAATATTGACTCAATCCCGGAGCTCAGAGATTGGAATGCATCGCGCTGTGAACGCACAAACTCATATAATTGTCAAGATGAGTCGTAAGCTTGGAACTTTGGCTGAGATTCAGGCTCTGGCACAACAGGTGGATAATATCAAGGAGCGAGCGGACAGATCAGCATGGATTGGGATAGATTAATTACGCCACATTGGATCTAGAGGGGTTGTAGACCAACAGAACACTCAGACAGAGAGGAAATTATCTCTGTCTGTCCCCAAAACAATTTTTATCGGAATCTGGTGCCCTTGGAGCCCGTGAGGCTGAAGTGAAAACTCCCCCCTCAGAAGAAATGTGAAATGCTGTCGTCGCTATGGTAACTCTTTCTCCCTATCCCAGCCTGGGAAGGACTGTGACCGATGAAGGCCGTGGAACGACTGTATCTAGGAGTCAGTGTGCTCTCTAACCCATTATCTCCCTCCCCTGTCCAAACGGAGGTGTTGAGCGCTGCTCCATGCGGCTGCACGCACTGAAGTGAGGAGAGTCCCAACCCTACCTCCCCACCTAGTGGACACTTATGTTGTGTAATGTCTGAAGTCTGTGTGCATATCTGTCTGAGGTGTTTTTTTGCATAGCAAAGCTACCCTCTCTGTGGAGGGTAACTCTGAAGTGCCCCTGACTCTATCCTCATATAAACCCTCTTGATCTATTAAGGTAGCGCAACTCGGATTGTGAATGACCACAGTCACCAATTCTTGTCATGTGTCTATGTATGTATATCTGATCTCAGAATTGTGTGTACTGAAACTCTAATGTCCCTCTGGGATTAATAAAGTATCTTTGAATTGAATTGAATTGAATTGATATGAATTAGAAATCTCAATCTTTAACCGAGTGGTACGTCACCGCATCTGTCACGCTGTTCCATCGTTTGCTGTCTCGGTCATAGGGAGTGAGTTTTGTGAGTGTTTCTGTTGGCGTTTGCTGCCTTGAAGAAGCACTGGCCACCGCTGCCACTGCAGCTGCAGGCTTTTTAGCTTTAGCTGCCAGCTGGCTCTCATTGTATTGTTTGGGATGCCTTCTTTTCAAGCGATTAAACAAGTTTGTGGTGTTGCCATCACTTGCCTTGATGCTCTCCTTGCAAACGTTGGAAATTATGTTCTGTTGCTCTTTGTCGTCTGGTGAAAAACCAAACCAGTTCCATATAACGGATGAGGCGTTTCTCTTTGGAACGACAACCTCGTTGTCGCCCTCAGCCGCGTCCAAAGCCATTTTTGTTCACACACAGGTTAGAACAAGTGGGGCGCGCACTAATATTACCATGAATCACTCAGATTGGTTAAGGTCAAACAAAGCATGTCATTCGCCTATAAGCAGAGGTTATCTAAGGTAAGTTCCCATCTCATACAGAGGCAGAAATTCAACAGCAGAGCTGTGAATCGTGGTAAAAAGGTATCTCAAAAATGACAGACCGTCAGATGTGTAGATTGTAAAGTGGTCTAAAATCGTCATATCGCCCAGCCCTAGATCTGTGTATCAAACACTGAGGTCGACCTGGACCTCTTCTAGGTTCTAAATCAGGTACTGGTTCTCTTTGAGACCCTGACTCACCCTGGTCGGCCTGGGAGGCCTCAGAGATGTTGACAGCCAGCTGGCTGCTGAAGGAGTTGACGCCCATCATTCCTGAGTGAGCAGCAGAGCCGGTGAGGGACGGCAGCTGGTTGTGGCTGCGTGGAACGCTGTAGAGGGCCTCAGTGAGGTCGGCCGCTCGCTTCAGGATGATCTCCTGCTAGGGGTGAGGTGAAGAGGGTTGGTGAGGGGAGGAGAAACAGAGACAATGGACAGAGAGAGATCAGCTCAGGAGTCCTGACGCATTTAATTCCTGAGACTTCCTCTCTGTTGGGAAAACAAGTTTAAATCTCTAACACATGGTTCTGGTTGTCCTCCTACTAGAACCCTTAAGGTCCTGGGTTTGGGCCTTTGGGCCAGGTAAACCCTCACTGGTCTTCTTCAGTTTGACCAAACATTACACAGCAAAATAAGTTAAAAACAGATTGAGAGACCTGCTGAGTTTAGCGTGATGTTTCTAAATGTCACACTTCCTGTTTCAGGCTGAAGCTAAAAACCGGAGACAGCAATCAGGATCAGGGTTTGGGACTGGGGTCCGTGATCTGTGAGTCATAACGGGAATAAATGAGTGAAATTCAAGCTCCAAACCAACTCATTCAGCAGAAAGTGGACCTCTACTGGAGGATTCCTCTTTTAGCTGCGATGGTCGAAACAAAGTAGGGAACGTTTCTGAGACAAAGCAGAAAGATCTCACTCACAAAGGTAACCTCGGATCTACACAAGCTGTGAGCAAGTTCACTCACCAGGTACTTTTTCTGCTGAGACTTTAATACAGGGTTCTGACCCAGTTTAAATAAAACACTGATTCTGTTTGGTACTGTGGGGCTCAGGCGGAAGGGTGTGTCCACTCACCTGGTTGTTGTGGGGCATCCCGTACAGCGCTTCCACCAGGTCAGCAGCTCGCTTCAGCAGAACTTCCTGTCAAGAGCATGAAAGTTGGATCAGAACAACCTGGCATCAAAGAAGCAATCATTCTTTTGTTTAATTCTGAAACCCCTCAGCGTCAGTCAGAATAAACAGATTCTTCTTCTACCAAAAACATTCAAAGGATCTGGGGAACATTCCGTAGGAGCAGATTAGAAGCTCTGAACTGAGAGGCAACAGAAAGGATGGAGGGATGACGGAGGAGAAGCAGGAAGTCATTAAAACACAAACAGGCCCAAGGCTGTTTTCCCGTCAGCCCTCAGGAGAGGAAGTGTCCAATCTGAGCGCCAGCAGCACATCAGGTCGCCACGGCGACGGCTGTTTAAAACAACAACAAGCGGATAGATGGATAAACTGAATATAAAAGAAAGAAGAGAAAAAAAGAATAGAGAACAAAAGGGATGGAAAATGGAAAAAATATGGAATTTCATAAGAAAATAAGGAGAAACTGAGGAATACAGATAAAGGAAAACAAAGAAGGAGCAGAAAACTGAAAATGAAACATGGAAGGAAGAGAGGAAACAGTAAAGAAAAGGATAAAAAATGAGAAGAAAAGTTGATAAAATAATTCAATATTAAAAAAATCAAAGATGAACAGAATATAATAGAATAGAATAGAATAGTCATGTTCTGTGTCCCTGTGGTCCCCAGCCCCCTCCATTTTCCCTCGTGTGTCCCCTTGTCTGCATCCCCCCTCAGGTGCCTCCTTGTGTTCCCCAGCCCACTCCAGGTTTTACCCTTAGGGGTTCCCCTTAGGTTTCTGTGTCCTTGTGGTCCCCAGTCCCCTCCAGGTTTCCTTTCAGGTTCCCTTCTAGTCACGCCCCGTAGTTTTCTATAGGTTCAGGTTTTCTTTAGTCTCCTTTAGTGTGTGTGTGTGTGTGTGTATGTGTGTGTGTGTGTTTTCCTTCTCCACTTGTTTATCTCTCCCTCACTCCTCAGGTCTTTAGTTATTTATATTTTGGTTCTCCTGTGCCCTGAGTCTTTTAGGTTCATTTATGTAGTCTCATAGGTTATGGCTTATTCCCCTCCTCTGCTTAGTTTTCCCTTCCCATTTGGTTTATTGATTTCATCAGGCTCTCCTCTGGATCTCTCTCCCCACGCACCTGCTGCTCGTTTCCTAATCACCCAGCCCCTGTGTATAAAACCCTGTCTTGTCTCTCGGTGTGTGTCGGTCCATTGTCGTTGTCAGTGTTGTTCTGTTCCTCCTCGTGAAATTCTAGGTTTTGCCCATCAAAGAGCTTTTCTTTTTTATTTTTTTTTGTCAGTCAGGTTACTGACGTTAGGCTTGGCTTCCTGTCCCTTCTTGGATTTTTGGACATTGACTCCTAATAAAAGGATTTAACATTTTACTACGCTCCTGCCTTGTGTTGTTCTGGGTTTCTTCTAGGGTCCTGACCTCCTGCTGGCTCAAACGTGACTAGAATAGAATAGAATAGACTTTACTGAGCCCACAGCGGGGAAATTCACTTGTTGAAGATATAGAGGAGAAAAAAATGATACGATGAAAAGATCAAAAACTAAACAGGCAGAGATGAGAGGAGGCCCAAGGACTGTCGGCTGGAGGAGGAGAGGAGGTGTGGAATCCCAGAGGAGAAGATGTGAGGTGGTGGAGGCCTCTGCTGGAGCTCCCTGAGGTATTACACACAGACGAGTTCTGACCCAGAACACCTTGTGGCTGCAGACACTTGATCAGCTGGCAGATTTCTACACAAGTACATTTGTAACTAATTAACATAAACAAAATAAAAACAATAAATTCGCTAATCTACTGGAGCAGAATCAGATGTGATATTAATCTGTTCTATTTTAAAAACATTTCAGAACAACAGAACCACTGCGGCTCAGAAACTGGTTTTCTGTGGCACAGACTGATCTGGAACCCACCCAAAATCTGCTCATCAGCTGATTTTTACTCTCTCATCTGAGTTGTTTAGAACCTGCCAGCAATACAGGGTTCTGGTTGAACTTAAACCTCCCTCTAAAAATGTTCTGCTGTCATTCTGACAGAAGAATGGTCATTCAATTTAAACATGAAGCCCATCTCATCAGCTGGTCTGGTTCTAATGGGTTTCAGCAGATTCCCTCTCACTCAGAGCATCCTGTGCGACTAAGAAGGCTCACTACATCCTCTCAGCCAATAAGAAGGCTTCTCTGAAGTTGGCAGCCTAAGGTGGTTTCCCACGGCCCAGTTCGACCCAGAGAAACCAGTTCAACACGCTGAGACGTTCGGTCTCCCTGAAACTTGTGAAGGAAGCAGCTGAGACACAAACGGAGCCAAACTCCACCATGGAGCTGTTTGTTTACATTCTCTTTGTTTACACAAACATCTGCTGTTCAGTCTGTTTATGTAAACTCCCAAGAGGATCCTGGATTGGTTCTGACTGAGCACTCCATGCCAGAAAATCTCATAAGAGCTGGTAACACCATTAAAACCAGCAACACAAACACCAGTAACACTCGTAAAACATACAATAAAACTAAAACCAATAACACCAGTAGAACCAGTATCCATGCGACTGCTGTGACCCAGAACCATAAAAGCATGAGGTTCCAGCTCTGTCTCATGATCGGATCACATAAATGAACAGATTGTGTTTCGAAGTTTTGACCGTTTGGACAGAATCCGAGTTGGTAATCATGAAGATCTCCTCATGGGGGAGAAAGAAGCAACCTGCTCTGTCACACAGGTTCTGATGAAACCGGTCGGTCAGCAACAAGTCGTGTTTTTACCCACCTACTCCATTCTCATTCCCTTCCTCTTCTTCATCTAAGTTTATAAATCTTTTTCTTGTTTTACAAATTAAACAAACTCTCTCACTATCTGTGTGTGTGTGTGTGTGTGTGTTCCTCTGGCTTCATTAATCTCCATTAGAAAACAGAAGTTAGTTAATGTCTCCTTTGCTCGGCTGCAGCAGAGACGCCACGAGTCAGCAGCTGCCCATCACACACACACACACACACACACACACACACACACACACACACACACACACACACACACACACACACACACACACACACACACAATGCTGGTTGCACAGATAGGCACATATGAGTATCCTCAAACACACACACTTGAAACATTGAGAGTACAAACACCAAAATCTCTCACACACTAAGAACTACAGCTCTAGTGTGTGTGTCCTTCTACTTTGATAAAATCCTGACAGACACGACAGCCTCTCATGCTAATAACACCTTAGAGGCCTTGCTGCTGCTCAGTCAGCCTCTGTGTGTGTGTGTGTGTGTGTGTGTGTGTGTGTGTGTGTGTGTGTGCGTGCGTGCGTGTGTGTGTGTGTGTGTGTGTGTGTGTGTGTGTGTGCGTGCGTGCGTGTGTGTGTGTGTGAGAGAGAAAGAGAGAGAGATCTGGTTGTCTGTCACTGAACCACCACACTTCCCTGGGTACTCCCTTCATTAAACACCACTGGTGTGAGAGGTTCTCTGCTCAATAACATCAGAGAAGGAGAAACAGCCGGCTGCTAACACTTCAACTTTAGGACAAACTACCACAGTCCCAAAAAGAAAATCATCATTTGAAGTCGTATACAACAAAAGTTGTTTGTCTAGGAAACAGCGACTATGTTTAGCGCTCTTTCGTTAACTGTGGCAATGAGAGATCCGGTATCCGGTGGATGTGGCCCAGGGACGATAGCCGACAGGACTCTGTTTGTGTTTAAGAGCTAGCTTGGTTGTAGATTTGCCATCGCAGCTTTTACTGAACACATACAATTCTCAAACTGTTTTTCATGTGTTTTGCATCAGATTCAGTTTCGAGTTCTGCTACTCCAGGATCAGCTGTCAGAGCTGCTAATTGCTTCTTCTTCTTCTCTCTCTCTGCAACCCCCCCCCCCCCCCCCTCCAACACACACACACACAGAGAGAGAGAGAGAGAGAGAGAGAGAGAGAGAGAGAGAGAGAGAGAGAGAGAGAGAGAGAGACAGTGCCATCAGATTTCTGTCAGAGCGAGTGCCGGCAATCAGAGAGGCGGGAGCTTGAACGGCGCTGAAAAGCCTGGTCCGATCGATACGGTAATGTACTGGCTCCCAGTTATCACCATCATCATCTCTTATCTCTGACCCACACCTCTGAGGGGGGAGGAGGGGGTCTCTGGGTGCTTTCCTACAGATGAGGAGATGGATGAGTTCATGGCTGATATTTAAACCAGAATAGAGGAGGAGGCGTCTGATTGGACTGTTTCCTTCAGACCATTTCAGTCTGAAGCAGGATGAAATTTTCTATCGCCTGTTTATTATTTATCTATTTGCTGCCTTTGTAAAATCTACTTGGAGACCTTGAATATTCGCACATACGTTGGATGTTCTGATTACGTTTTTTTGTTTTTCAGCTTCCCTTTGAATATTTTTTACAAAGTTTACTATAAAGTGTGAGCATTGTGTTTGGTGGTGCCAGTGCCATGCTGCCTCGCCTCAGGGCAGCTGTGGCTATTGTAGCTCATCACCACTGGTGTGTGAGTGGTTGAATGTCTGCACTGTAAAACACTTTGGGGGTTCTAGGAAACTGGAAGGTGCTATATTAAATAAAGGTCATTCATCATTTACAATATAAGCACAAAACATTGACAAATTTAGAAAATAATACAGATTCTGATATTTACTAAAGATTTAAAAAATAAATTATGGAATAAAAAAGATGAACAAAAAAATAATTATAGAATATAAAATGATCTGAAATGTTGAGAAATAAAAATTGTAGGAAATTCTTTTTTCCCAAAAAGTATTTAAAATGATCAAAACACCTCATAAATATATTTCTAAAAATATGAAAAACAAATATGAAATTATTAGAAGTTGGGAGATTAATTACAATTCAAACACTGAATTGAAAGACGTCTCATTTCAGACCTTCAGTTTTGAGTTTTTACAATTTGGTTTCAGCACACACTCCGAGGTGGATGGTAAGCTGGAGTCAGAGAAGTTGAGTGTCACATGACATCGTTTTAGAGATCAGAGGAACATCCCATATCTTAAATAAAG